CGATCCCAATACGAAGTTCGCGAACATCAGGGATATCCATCGGGCTCAAATCGAAGCGGGTGAAAAGGAGGTTATCACGGCTGAATCCAGCGACTCTGAATGCCCTAGTGAGGCTGGCAGCTGTATTGTAGTGGGTGTGGTTGAGGATCAATAGTTAATAGTAATGAGGAGGTTGGGTTGTGATCCCATCGTTTTTGTGGTGCCAGAAACAAGGGGGGTGCCAGGAAGTGGGTATGTTGACTTACCGTTCCCGAAAACCTCGGTGAGTCTGAGCCCGAACGAAAAGATCAAGTGCATGTTGCTAAGACGATGCTAAAGCATTTTCCCAACTCGGCGTATTGTTTGATTAATCCTATGGTTGACCTGGCCAAGATCCTCATGTGGATGACGGACAACCTGGGTCTGCACAGTAGTCACACATCCTTCCAAAGGCTGTCACAGACTGCGCTCAACCTGGACAGGGAGTTGGATGACTGGAAGTCTGGTTTACCAAGACAGCTCCGATTTGACACATCATCACTGGAAGACAGCGAATTCGCCATGAAGCAAAAGACTGTCCTCAAGCTACGTATGCTTTACTCGCATGTCATGCCGATGCGCTAGCATTACTGATGTACACGAACAGGATTCCTGAACGCCAGGATACTCCTTCACCGACAGTTCATCATCTCAAAGACGCAAGAAGCGGACCGTAACACCGTCGCGCGACATGTCACCTCGTGCGTCAAAGCTGCCACCGAGACCATCAAGTTCATGCACACAAGCTACCTTCACCGACCTTACTTCAGGACATGGTAACGTCCTTACACCCATAAGGCCTTGCACCCGAAGAAGCTAACTCGGAGTAGGTGGTACAACTGCATGTACCTTCTAGACGCCTGCATGGTCCTGCTCCACGTCCTAATTTCAAACATCTGTCCCTTCCCCGCCGAAGAGGTTATGGAAAACATCGAGCTGAGCCTCGACATCTTCAAGGCAATGAAAATGCTCGCAGTAGCCAGACGATGCGCCGATATTGTCAAAGAACTGCTCAATGTCGCCGCGAAAACACATTCAGTACAGCAGCGTCAGACGAGCGTGGCTACAGAAGACGAACCCGCGCTTAGGATGCATGATGACCTTAGCCAGATGATCCAGACTTCTCCTGCATTCATGTCAGATGGAATTGGCCTCCATCCTGGGGACACCGAGCTTGGAGACGCCATGATCCCCGGGGACTTTGATGCGAACTTGGTGGATCCGAATGTTGTCTGGAACTTTTTGAATTTTGAGCATTGGAATGCATGGTCTGATGCAGCTTTCAGGTGAACATTGTACCAACAGCATGAAATCAGGTATGTTACAGATAGCATACAATTATGGCGTGTAGAGCAAGGCTCTGTGGAAATACTTAGATGAGCAAGGAGCCCAATCAGTCTTCTAGAGACCGAAACGACCTTGTCTGTTTCCCAGTGAACCTAGATAAGCCTTTTGGCTGCATACGCATTGTATGCATGACATCGTCTCAGTGTTACGTTGGAGCATCCCTCAGCTTCCTGATTTGGGTGGGATTGGTGGAACAAGCAAGGCCGTCAGAAGGTGGGAGATCAGCTAGGTGCTGCATCAAATCTTGGCAGTCCTCGATTCACCAGAATGTCAGAGTTGGACTCTTGGAGTTTGAGGGCGTCCGCAGGTCTTGGCGGACAAACTCATGATGAATTTACCACGACTAGTATTCATCGAATAACGCCAGATATTGCCACCAATTTCGACTCACAGCAATGCAACATGGTCGCACGCAATAGCTCTTTTGTTAGATCGACCAAGTCAGTCAACAGATACCTCACATGTATAAAACCAGATTCAAATTCGCGCCTCTCCGCATCCCTCTATGCTTGAGTCCTCGTTCTAGAATTACACCTATAATGCGTTCTATCACTATTCCAGGGCTAGTGGTGGCCATTAGCCTTGTTTCCGCTCAGTCGACCAAAACCACCTCGACCCGAACAACCTCAACAAACACCATAAAATGGCAAGCCTCCGGAGGCGTATCTTGCCCACACCCATCGGTCAACACGAAATGGCCAACAGCCACTGGAAGCACCTCTTTCCCCACTGCCTCCTTGATTCCAGCCAATGCAGTATTTGATGGCAAGATGGCTCTGTTTGATCGCAAAGGTAGCTCCGGCGACTGCAAAGGACAAGCTGAGCAAGATGAGGCTGCTGCCGTATTCATCTTGGATAGCGGGGCGACGCTGAAGGATGCCATCATTGGCCCTGCTCAAGCTGAGGGCGTACATTGCCGCGGTCCCTGTACCATTGAGAACGTTTGGTGGGAAGACGTATGTGAGGACGCGGCCACATTCAAAGGTACTGGACCGAGATACGTCAGAGGCGGAGGGGCGAAAGAGGCCAGTGATAAGGTCTTTCAACATAACGGTGAGTACTAAGAGCTGAGACGCCGTGACACTTGATCTGAGCACAAAATCCTAACATCGTTGAATCGCAGGTGAGGGATGGCTACACGTCGACGGCTTCTATGCCAACAAATTTGGGAAGTTCTACCGGTCATGCGGCAATTGCAGCCAGCAGTTCCAGCGACATGTCAACATCACCAATTTTGTTGGAATACAAGGAGTAGTCAGTAAGTCACAGGAAAGATTAGTCTCCAGCCAAGAGCTGCGCGTTTTTAATCCTTGGAAGTTCTTCCGTGCTAACCACTCTTAGTGGGGGTAAATCAAAACTATGGCGATACTGCTATTCTATCCAATTACTGTCTCGCAAAGATTGGAGTCATCTGCACACGCTACGAAGGTTGCGTCAAGCCGTGTGAAGCTGGGGAAATTGGCGAGGGAGCTCTGGCACCATACTGTGTCGTCAACGGTCAGGATTGGTCTTGATATTACTTCAATGTTCAAGTATGTTGTTGCCATGGACGTAACTGTCCAACCAGGATACTGCGTCCCATGCATCTGAAATGAAACATGAACACACCGAAACTATACTTATCGTGTCGCTCCCTTGAAAAGATTCAACCGAGGAGTTGAGCCCGGCACGACCGAAAAGGGAGCAGGACCGGACGGAGTGGGGCCGGTGCTCAGCTTACCGGGGCAATGTGCCGCGATGATCTCGGTTAACCCTCGTTGGCTTGGTCTCCTTCACCGAAACAAAGATGGCAAAGATGAACCAGCTATTATCAGGCGACGAAGCCGCCAAAGACGAAGTCATGCGGCTGGTATAGTAAGCCCGGAGACTATATCAGGAGAACGAAAAGGCACTGATAGAGCGAGATCTTGCAGAAGCTAGAGTGACGGACCTATCTGAGGAGCTGGAACTACTACAAGAAGATCATGAATGGGATCGAAAGATTATCGCCCATCTCAGGTCCCAACGGAGGACTACAGTGGTACGACCGCCTGAGCAAGAAGGTTCTCGCGCTCTTCAAGGCGGTACGGATGCATCCGGAGTGATTTCGAATAGAACAACGTCTAGATTTGAGTCGACCGTAGTGGAGTTCCATGAAAACCCTGAGTTCCCTGACGCACCTGTTTTCTCCGGCGATGGCAATGCCTTCGACAGCTGGAAGGAAAATCTCCGCGACAAGCTGAACAGTAGCTCCTCTTCATATTCAACCGAGCCTCACCGAATCGCATTCATCCGCAGCCTAATAGACGGGCCGGCCTAATAAAAATACGATATCAATGTCAAACGGAACAACCTCGCAGCTTCTTAGCAATCGAGGTAGTTCTGGAGGCCCTTGAACAAGTGTACACCGACGGACTATTACGACCCGGTAGACTTTTACCTGGACATCGACCACCAGGACGGAATTACGACAGAAGGTTTGCCGACCGGATGAGGAATTTCAGGGCGAATTCCTAACAGGAATAACCCCAAGGGCGACAACAGAGACCGATGGCCACTTCTACTAAGAGGTTTTCGCGCCCCATAAGCTAATAAGCTATGCATACTAGGTTCTACCCAAAGCTCACGCTACTGTGCGTGATTCCTCGGTATTAAGCTAGTAACTTGGTAACGGAAATGGGGATCTTGACGAGGTCTGGCGCGCTGCTGGACAGAGAGCGTTAATAACTGCAAGCCTGCGGAAACATTGAGGTTTCTGCTATGGTGCCACTACCGGTCTGGCCGGTCAGCACTATAACCTAGTCTGGAATTTATGTAAGGAATATCGGTCAGTACGTTTTGCTTACTCACCACTAGCCTAAGGAAGGATCATACATAATCTGCTCGTAGTGATGATACTGGTTAGCCTGCACGTGATGAAAGCTTGTGTTGCAGATCCGACCACGAAGCTCAAAATTGGATACGTGCTAATTATTCTGTATGTTCGCGTCTTTTGTTATCGCCGTGAGGCACCGAGAGGGCCGAGCAGTTGTGATGTCATCAAAGCAGAAAGTCGCCGCGCCTTCGCGCCCTCGGCACCGTGGAGCTCCGTCATGGGCTTTGATCCACGAATTAATCTGAGAAATCGGGGAAATCGCTCTTTGTCTTAAGGAATACTTTCGTCGCTTTGATCCATTATGGGCGTCTCTCATCATCAGCAAAGACTATTACAACTCTCAGACTCTCGGCAATATCTGCACTTGCATTGCGCAGCTACTTAGCTATAATTTGTGGGCAATACCGTCAAACATACCATCGAAAGCTAATCCAAAGCTAAAGCTCTCGTATTGTTTTTTTTTTTCAAAATGCCAAAAAGCACGAGAAATATCTCAAAAGAGACCATAAGCAGTCTCTCCGATGCGCCAACACCGCTTCCAGGCAAAGTCCTCCAAATCAGATCCGGAAAAGTCAAAACTCTCGTCGCCGAACCGTCCGGCATCTTCAAACAAGTCCAGCAAGGGCGTATCTTCATCAACGAGCACGGCATCGGCAATGACAAGCACGTCTACCCCATACACTGGAGTACCGAGCGTGCTCTGCACCAGTACGCCTCGGAGCATTATGAGTCCTGGCGGTGCGAGGACGGCTGTCCCAAACCGGAGCTCTTCGATTACGGCGCCTTTGGGGAGAACATAGTTGGCACCAACATGAGCGAGAAAAATGTTTGCGTCGGCGACGTCTACCGCATCGGCAGGGATGTCGTGGTTGAAGTGAGCGAACCTCGCAGCCCGTGTTACAAGCTAAACTTGCGCTTCGAATGGGGCAGAGCCCTGAAGCGCGTCAATCGCACGGCGCGAACGGGATGGAATATGAGAGTCAGAACGGCGGGGTATATATGCGCGGGTGACGTGATGGAGCTCATGGAGCGTCCTCATCCGCGATGGTCGATTCTCAATATCAAGCGCGTGATCCAGGGGAAGGACGTTGCACTGCCTTTGGTGGCGGAGCTGTGCAACCTGAGCGTGGTGACCAGCATGGTCCGGGAATTTGCGATGAACCGCTTGCAGTCGACGCCGAAAAGATACGCAGTCGTGGATATCACACCCGTTACTTCGCGAGTCAAACATTTCACCTTTCAACTCCGAGAACCTTTCACGATCAACGAACCCACCTTCAAAGAGTTCGCGTTTGCGCAAATTGAATTCGGAACGAACGATGAGAGGTATTCGCGGTCATACTCGATTGTATCAGGAGACCTGAACCGGTTTTCCCTTGGCGTGGCCCACGACGATCATTCTAGGGGAGGATCGAGGTATCTACACATGAAGCTCCAAATAGGTGATATAATCACCATGGCCCCTGGCGGGGTCCCAAAGGCTGTAGAAGACGAACAGAAATGCGTGGAGGAAGGACTGGTGGACAGGCGACTTGTCATAATCGGAGGTATCGGCGTGACAGCATTCCTCCCAAAGATTGCCCAGTGGAAGAAGGAGGACATCGACTACGAAGTACATTACGCAACGCGAAACCGCGAAGAGGCTGCATTCCTGAACCGCTTCCCTAGCGAGAACATAATGCTCTATGCTAAGAACGAAGGCAGACGCCTAGACTTGGACGCCCTGATTCCGGGCTCTGATAAGGATGGAAAACACACCACGAGGATTTACTGTTGCGGCCCAGAAGGATTGATGAAAGCCGCACAGAGACGAGCTAGGGAGATGGAATATCCAGACCACATGCTACATTTCGAAAGCTTCGGAGTGGATTCCGCATCAACGAGAGGCAAGCCTTTCACCGTTGAAGTGAATGAGCTCGAGTCACACCGGAAGAAGACATTGGACGTTACCCCCGACAAAACGCTGCTAACGGTATTACGGGAGGCAGGCTTTGATATGACCTTCTTCTGCGAAATGGGCGGCTGCGGTGCTTGTAAAGTCACTGTTTGTGACGGCAAGGTTGATCACAAAGGAACGGCTCTCTACCCTGAAGAGAAGAAACGCAACATGCTCAGCTGCGTTAGTCGTGGAAGTGGACACATTAAGATAGAGTTAGACTAAGCTAGAATGCACATTCAATCGTAGGTTTATTTCTTGATAGTTATGCCGGCATGACTCTTCCTCGTGTAGTGCCCCAAGGTGGCTATGACATTGGTGGCGACCACATGCCAGCTGGGGTAAGCATCGCCTTGATCACCACAGCTCGAGGCCATCACGCACTTTTAAACCTGCTAATAACTCTTGTTTTTGTTAGTTTGTTGTCGGCTTCAGCCCTTGGGTTGTTCATCGTAGCAAGGAAGAGTATGGCCAAGATGTTTACGCGTTTCGGCCTGAGAGGTGGAGCAAAGGGGACAATGACGACATGCGTAAGTTTCCCTGACGAGTCCTGTCTCCAATATTCGGCCAAACTCTTCAAAGACCATTTCTTCTTTGCCTCAGGATCCCGAGCTCGAGTGTGTCTTGGTCGAAGTAGATCTCGCAAGCATCGAGTTCAAAGGTTCTGCTGACTCATTAGCGTAGATATCAGTTAGATGAAGATGGCCAAAGTCCGATCTCCAGACGTCCGTGACTGGGACCATTGCTGAGGAGGTGGTCATACAGCTTACCCCAACCCTCTCCCTATACTTCGATCTCGAGCTTACTGGCCCTGATGCAATTTTGGAGGAAAAATGCTAGTAAGTACCCCACTGTGAATGATGTACTTGAATGGTTTGTTGACCATTGTTCCAATTGGCTCGTTTCCCAGAAAGGTTCGAATGTTAGGCTTCGGCGAAGACAGCTGCCAGCCAGAGAGGGAACCAAAGTCTAAACTTCGAACGCCCCTCAGTGGTCACTGGCTCTAGACTGGAAAATCTAAGTTCATGCCCTCATCGGGTCTGCTCTGACATGATTGAGACCTTTAATGCACCAACGTAAATCATCAACCTCAAACTTAAATTGCTCAAGTTGGTATCTCATGAAAAATATTTCAAAAACCCAGTTTTTCAAGAAATTTATCTCTTGTGTAATCTTGTGATCTGCTTACTCTGGTCTCTTTGCTGTCATGCCCTCATGTTCAAGTCCGTCCTCATGTGAGATTTATCACGTACCTGATTAGGTAGACAAAATCCGCTCGAACTAGACCTTTGAAGTTGCGTGCTCCGTTTCCACCACGTCAATAGGACCATCTCCCTTCCCATTCTCCGCAATCCGAACGTTCGCTTCTTCACCATCAAAGATGACGGCAATCTCCTCCAAAGCCTTGCCCTTAGTCTCCAAGAACCACCCATAAGCGATGCAAGCCTCCACAGCTAAGATAGCAACATAGACTATATAGAAGCGCCAACCAATGTTCTGGATGCCGATCGGGTTTACGTATTGGTTGACAAAGACGGCAGCTTTGGTCGAGAAGACATATGTTGCCATGCCCTTGGCGCGGATGGAGTACGGCAGGACCTCCACAGAATAAGCGACCGGCAAGGGCGAGAAGGCGATGCAGTAGAAGACTTGATAGATGAAAATCAGCGCCATGACGGCGATACCGGCGGAGCTGGCACTGGTTTCGGCGAATCGAGCTGAGGCGATGGTCCAACCGATAAAGACTACGAGCATACCGCAGGTCGAGATGCGGAAGAGGGGGCGGCGGCCGATGCGTTCCACGAAGAATGCAGTAGTCAGGGCAAGGCCAAAGTTCCAGATGTTGAGTAAGCCATTGACCAGAGCTTGTGTGTTCTTGTTCGTGATACCGACGGTGTCCATGATTCTCGAGAGGTCTAGTCCGCATCAGTCAACGTCCAAATCTCACTGAAGTAATGGGGAAGTTTCGTCTTCTACTTACAATAAGCAATCAGGCCGTTACCAGACCATTGGGAGAAGAATCCCATGCCTATTGTTAGCGTCAGTATGGAAATGGAACTAGATTCTTGTATGCTTGGACGAGATTCTTACAGACGACAAGGAACATGCGGTATCGGTTGCCTTTCGTCTTAACCATTGATGCCCAAGTTGTGCTTCCAAGTCCTTCGATGCGATTAGCAAATGCGTCAAGACTCCATGGGATCTCCAAACTTACTCTTCTCATTGTCGATAGCAGCTCTGATCTCTTCAAACTCCAATCTGACCAGCTCCGTCTCTTCGCCTTCGCCGTGGTA